CATTCAAACTCACGTCAAAAGTCAACTTGAGAGTCGGAAAAAAGTGGGCTTCCAATTAAAAGGCTGTGTTAGTCATTTTTACAGAAGGATAACAAATCCAACCTACTGGCTTTGTAGAAGCGTCACTGAGATCAGATCGGTAACTTATTCGAACTCATTTTTGGTGTTGCCCAGCCGAATGGACCTCAATGCAAATGGCTGCCCACATTGAGATTGCGTCTCACAATCCATTCACACAAGGAGGGCTTTTAACCGACACCTCCAATCAAAGGTATTTTCTTTTGGATTAGTCCCGATTGTCGCAACACACAACAAAATGGTCGTCTTTTGTTCGATATTTTCGCAGTGAAATTCGCCTCATGTATGCACAGTTCCAAAATCTAGTTCGCAATCTAATGAAGCCTGTCCTCAATCGATACGTTTTCCAACGCTCCACCCCAACGGGCACAGGAGCTCGGTCGTTGCGCGTGACGAGGGTGTTCAGACAGCCCACCGAATTCCAGTGGAAAAGCTGGCAAAGCGATCGATCCAAAAAAGCTTGCCTAATATTGGATTTGGCACATAACAAATTTACTTGACTGAAATAACAGTTGTCATTTTAGTTTAAATCATGTACTTTCAATCAAATCTTAATTCCGTACAACATTTACTAGTATTCGTATAGCTTGAGAGAAAAGAAAGTATTGTCTTTTGTTTTTATCATTGAACATTATCCATTCCACTTAAAACTGGGCCAAACATTGGATGAAGAAAGCAAAACCAAGAAAAGCGGGTCATTAGCAAGTTGTGCCTAGATAATCCTTTCGCAAATAAGCAGTTGAAACATTTGCTGCTAACAAGCAGCATGAAGTAGTGGATTCCGTTCTCGTTTTGACTAACAAGTCACTCAATGTTTAGCGATAATGGTTTGGAACAAAAGACGCAACGATGATGAGATAATTTACTTAAAACTGCATTAGTCACATAAAAATGCCTGCTATTGGGATAACTTTCAAAAAGAGTGTAGAATTCGTAGACAGTTATTTCAACCGGGCGTTGCAGACGTTCAACGTCAAAAAGTGCTTACGAAGTACGTGCAGCGAAAAGAACAAAATTCCTACACTTTCACGTTACCATTCAAATGCTGTCATGCGGATTGTTGATAATCGCTAGGCATGGTAAGATCGAACTGATTTGCCTAGTGGCAAAATCACAAGAGTAACGATATGTTGCTGAATCGTTCCAACAGAACAGATCAAAGAATGCCTTTTACAAGCGTCCGCAGCGTGATGACTCGAGTAATAACTCTGGTAAGGGTCGACTGCGCTTTCATTAATAACCGTTTTAGAATTGACTTGCGTGGCAGAAATGGCGACCGTGATTTATGTCGAAGTATAATGTACAACCAGATTACTGGAACCGCATTCTGAGTTGCAAAGTTCGACATTGCTTCTGTCAACACGACATCCGTCGACTGGTTTTGGTCTTGCTCGCATGCCTCAGATAGATATAACGGTAGCTGGTTGTTATCATCTCACTGTCGCATTTTTGCTGTACATGTTGTACCACACTGTCAGAGCTCGGTGATCGAATGTTAGGCGTCTGCAAATAAATCACATTGTTGAAGGTTTGACACAGATCTAAACAATTCTACCATTAAGAGCGAAACCCGTGTGAAACTGATCACAGAGTAAAATGGTAGCATTCAGCAATGTTGCACTTGTATTTGACCTATAAAGAGTGAAGCTGAAACATGGTAGTTACCAGTGTGGAGTTAACGACAACGAACTAGTCATTGATCAGACAAATGAGTGGTCTTTCATCGTTCTGCTAAAATGTTTAGTTTTCAATTCAGTCTTGGCTGTACGTAAGCTCGGATACTGCTTGAATGCCAGCCATTATACAGCGAAGGATTAGGGTACCGCGCCAAAGCCTTTGGCCAAACATCGGACCACAAAGCAGCGGTGAAATGTATACCATCCGGTTTTACAGAAATTGAATCCACTATCTCGTGCCCCCAGCCTGGAGTGTCAAGCATCTGAGCTCCTCTGACTTGTACCATCTGCTAACCAATGGCTCTCATGAGGCCCGTGGCAACGACTCACTGTTGCCCTGTAGCTGGAAGTTATAAACAACCCGGTGTACCACATTAGTTCAGAACTCATATTGAACTGAAGCCGCAGACGAATAACTTGGGCATTGGTTGCCCGTCTCACTTTTCAGACTAGACCCCATATGAATTACGCTATACCTCACATCAACGGCATGGTTACCGCCATCTCCTAATCAGATGGTCTGTTTAAAGTGTATCTCTTCCTGAGCTGTCTGTGCTGTAAGGATGACTATAACGTGGGGTAAGGAGGCTCTCCGGACGTATCCGCACATGATGGCAGCCTTCGATCAATGATTGTTATTGATAAGATGTAGACACCATGATCAGATTGTTTGCTTCAGCCATATAGGTTTTACATCACCCTCCATTTTCCACATCTTATTCTTCTTCATTCCCTAGGTCAGTATAGCTGTATGACAGCGAAGTATCACTGTACAAGCAATGCGATTGTTATTTTTGTGCCATACGTCTAGTTCTGGTATTGAGCGTAGATACGCCCAGCGGACAGTGTCATTGTGCTTTAGCATTTTTGTAGCACGTACACAGACTCAGTAAGGATGAGCAGTGAAAAAGTATTGTTCAACTGGGGTGTGAGTAGACAGAATACTATCTTGTAAACTTTACACAACACCGGTTTCGGCGGAATCCTTTTAAGTGAGATAATGAAAGCAACTGAGACAAACTTATACTGTCTGATGAAATGCTATAAGTGCTATAGAGGACGAATACTTCCACCGATATGAATGATGGAGCAACTCTGCTAGTGTTCAGAAGTCCCCTTAGTTAGTCAAGACTGTCGTATAGAAAACCGCTTCAATCTGTAAATTTATCAGTGCCTTCTGTGTTTTCAGCTACACTGTTCTATACCTCTGCATGCTTGCAAGGAATGGGCAGAATGACCGTGACTGGTGTCCTGGTCATCATCATCATATCATCATCATCCATCATTCATATCGGTGGAAGCATTCATCCTGTATTGTACCCAGAGAATTTCATCAGAGAGTAGGAGTTTGTCTCAGTTGCTTTCATTATCTCACTTAAAAGGATTCCGCCGAAACCGGTGTTGTGTAAAGTTTACAAGATAGTATTCTGTCTACTCACACCCCAGTTGAACAATACTTTTTCACTGCTCATCCTTACTGAGTCTGTGCACGTGCTGCAAGAATGCTAAGGCTGAAACTTCGCACCACTGTGATACACGTGAAACGTACTTTCATTCAGAAGACGACGCACTCTTTTTAAGGTCACTGTGGTTACCGTATGAAAAACCGTTCTCTGTTTTCCTACCTTCATCTGCTATACTCCGTTTGTTACTAACGCGCATTTCTTCAGTTGCTTTTGCTTGTTATGACGCAAAACGACGGGTGTACATAGTATTGATTTTTGGAGAACAAATGTATCAAAATTCACTAGTTCGCTTTTTTTCGCTTGGTTCATTAACTAATGGTCTACCATCCGTGTTCTATCCATGTCATCTCACTCTGAATATTCACACTATGTAGTAGATCTTCCGTACATTAGATAAACATAGTTTGAACTCAATTAACCACAACGGTATTGTCCTAATGCCTTAGCACAGTCGATACACATGATCAATTTCGATCAAGCTTGTAGTCGATAATAAATTGTTGAAACAGCAATTTTAAAACAGAGTTTGGAAAAGACGCGAGGACACGCATCAAGGTTAAGCGAAGATACTTCGGTCTAAACGCAGATGAATTAGTACGACAAACCATTTCTAGTTGTCGTCCGCTTCCCACATTGCGACATCGAAGCCTTCCACTTCGGATACGGTCTGAGTTATTGTAATAACCGAGGTTCATGTCAAAGTAAATGGCTTTCCCAATTGAGATTGCGTTTGTCGGAATTCAAACACACAGCCGGTATTCCAAAACCCATCGATGACATTTAATGTCACACGTTCCGTGCCAGGTGAACGAACTGAAACACATAGTACGTATGCATGTGCACTTTTTGTCAGAACCGTCATTTGGAATGGGGAGGGTGAATTTCCCACCTCATTGTCTCAAAGTGCAAACATGAAGTAGGGGATGGTAAGCATCCGATTTCTTATTATCCAGATACTAAATGTCATAGTCTAGGATGAGAAAGGGAACGTTGGACATAAGTTAAGGCGATTAGTCAGCTGCATTGATCACAGACGATGGGGTACCACGTGAGTGCGCCGATGCGGATCAAATTAAGGAGCCGTTTAGGCCGTAGAACGTCAACTTCACCACAGCGTTTCCAACTGCTGCTGAATGCCGGAGGAGGGGAGCATCTGATATAACAGGATTGATCCAGGATTGATTGAAATATATCCATTCAGTTTTGATCCAAGTTACCTTAAGGGTTACTTTGCCCGGTTACTAAGATAGTAATGTTGAGTAGCTACTCTTAAAAAATTCTATGGAGGGTGAAACATATACCCTACTTATCCTTCATTGCCGAAATGCAAATAAATAGGATTAAATCTAGCTTTGAAATGATTACTGAGATAAGACAATCCAATCACTAATCTAGACAAAACAGCAAATCCCTCGCTTGCCCATTGCTACACATGTCTTTTAATATGTGCATATGATTGAATTACCGGAGGTAAAACTGTGCAAACCGTCAATAAATACTACTGGGTTAAGTAATGATAAAATGGGGCGTTTAGTTCTAGACACTAAAAGCTCTGAAAATTCCACCAATTTGCGTAGCGCTTCGTTACTGATTACCTGTGAAGCGGAGCTTGCGACTTACACAAGACATAGAGCTTAGTAACTGCTAACTGATAGTATTAGAGCTAACAATAATTTGGTTTATGATTCAAATGTAAAACTAGCCTGCAAATTAATGCGGATTAATAAAATCGTTTCTGTTTCTCTAAAACCTAGTAACATGGCCCTAAGCATGAACTCACATGAGCCTGTAAGGCAGCCAAAAGACAAGCTTCGTCATCCGTTGATTCTATCGCCTCTGTAAGAACAGACCACTTGGCTTGTTCGTAAAGTTGGTTAATCCGAACTATGTCGTATTTCGGGTTCAGATCGTAAAACGTGCCGTACTTGAAACGCATAAAAAGTAACGGAATGTGTTTTCCTTTCACAATGACGTCTTTACTTTCAGTCTGACGCCCAGTCTGTGTGTGTGAGTCGCTTGTTCCATATTCAGTTTGAGAAACCACACCGTTCTCATTGATCGCATAGTTATCGATCCCCTCTTCCATCAAAGACTTTGAAGAATCCAACCACTTCATGTTCAAACATAGCCGCTGCATAAAGTTAGTCGGATGCACAATCAGTCCCTTGGCCCAGGCATCCTCAACACTAACTAAAGGACTGGACGCCAAGGTGGGATCCTCCAGCGTGCGAAATTCGAACGCAAGCGTTTGCATAGATCCTAGACTGTAGTTTATATTACTCACATAATTAGAGACACCTTTTAATGACTGTCCAACCTTTGCTCTTGCTCTGCAGTCCCTTATTTTTGGGGGTCCGAAAAGTCGTTCTGATTCTGTGGAACTTCTTCTCCTTGTATCACCGTTTACACGCTTTTCTTGTTCAGCATTCTCCTTGTTCTCCATCGTCGTTGGGCTGCTGAACACATCACACTGCTTTCTCTGTGAATGCGTGACATTAATCGTTGCGCTGCGCTGAAATACACTACGCCTTTCAGATGCATTCATTGTAGGATGCCGGCGATCCAAGCCTGTTACCATGAAACGAGAGTGCTTGAGATCGGAGTGAGATACTGGGTATGCCAAGGAAAGTTCTTCCGGATGACGAATATTTAACTGACGGCAAACAGCCACAGTGATTCGAAACACTGGTTCTGAAAAATTCACATCCACAAAAGTACGTACCTGTAAATCCGGTAGCTGTATTCGAAGTCTGCCGTAGACGGAAATCAAACGCAGTAAAGCGTCTGCTTGTAATCCGTACTGATTTAAGCTCACTCTGTTGTGTGATAGCCATCGACGTTTGGCTGGCCACCACAAATTGTAATCCGCCCAGCCGGTTCTAGTGCCTCCAGAGCGTAAGCTGATTTCATTTGGCTTGTTTGGTTTCAGTGTCGGCACGGGGAGTCCCTCTGTTAGTTTAGCTAATACTTCCCCAACTGACCATTCGCCTTGGACCCGAATTTGTTTCTCGATATTGAGCTCATCAATGTGAACTGTCAACAACCACGATCCGTCAACATATTGACCGTCCGCAAGCATTTTGCCAGTAGCAGCCTGTAGGCCGGTAACTTAGTCACTGCACACTACACCAACATATGCACGCGGCTATCAACCTGGGTCTCCCATAGTCACATGGTCGACCCAGTGAAGGTATTTACAACCTCGTCGCGCAACCGACAAGTGGAAGCAGGCTTGTAAGGCTATTAGTTCCACTGCGATGCAAGCCAATCAGCGAGCGGACTTGTCTGGTGCTGCAGAGCCAATCATGCGAGTGATATCCCGTGCATTTGATTCGCTACAGCGGTTGGCGCCTAATTAAATAGGAGGCGGGGAACTTGTCTTCGTTTAAGCTCCTAGCGGCCTCTGGTTATACTGATATATTCAGACATTGCATAGTTTCACGTTTTTTCTCAATGTTCGACGGCGTCAGTAAAATTTGGACAGGAAATGTTCACGGGCAGAAGTATGGGCATTGGGTAACTAGTCTTATGGTATTTCGCTGAGTGGTACGTTCTTATTCAGATAAGTGCATAAATACAAGAAGGCTCCATTCAGAGAACAGAGTGGACGCTCTCAAAAGTTACGCGATCAGCAACTGCTGCTCGTCGGTAGCCGATGTATTGCCGTACTATATGGGATTGCCCTATATATTTTTTGTTGCCTAATTTTCTTTAGCTACGATTTACAAGAAGACGTGCTCTGAATAATTTAAAAAGGATAAAATGACGGAACTGCGGCAGTCACCAGCTTCATCAGAATATAATTTGATGCGAGTATGTTCGCTTCTCACTCAAATTCGGTTCGCCACATCATTAGTTTGCAACTTATCACTTCATGGAAGGCACTTCAAAGCTTATCTTCTAGTCACTCAGTCATGTCTGATCTCTTTAGATTAACGCACATCCTGGTGTTAGTTACTAACCGGGATCCAAATACGTACAGTTACAAGAACAACCAATATGTAGTTGATTTATTTCCAACCACCGGTCACCACAAATTTAGCGTACAATTTAAGTGAATATACTTCACAAGAAGTCAGTCCGAGTAAATAATGTGCGATCGCAAAAACTAAGTTTCTCATCTACGTCGTATGTGCACCTAACGAGATTATGCAGCTTATAACGATAATTTCCTGTGATAACCAAACAGCAATTTTTGAACGAGGTCCCATGAATGATTGACTTTTAAGCTGCAGCGCCCTATCCTCATTTTGCCAAATGCACCACTTAGCAGCCCTCCTAAGTAAATAAATAAACTTTTATTTTGGATGATGCGAGGCACGACTGTATCTGCGTGATCTGGTAAGTGCATACATGTATAGAACGTTCATCACAAGTGGAGCAGGAAAATTGAATACCAGATGAAACACTGACGTTTGGAAGGACAGAGAAGAAAATAAATTATTGACGATCGAAGTGATGTTGGCTGAACTTTAACCGTTCTCTATTATATATAAAACAGCTAGATCACAGAACATAGTGTGAATGGGAAACGGACTGGGTCATAAGAAATCTGGAACCTGCTCTTACGCTTAGCTTGTTGCTGTAGAACAATCAAACAGTCCTCACATTCCACACAGACAAAAAGTTGTTGATGCGTTTGTGAAATTCGTTTAAAAGTGTGCGAACCCGTATTCCGGGTGGTAGCTTGTTGGTGACAGTAACTTGTACCCGTTAAGTTATACGTTGATGAACTTGCTGGAACTGGAATTACATTCCAGTACTGAGTTCTGTTTATTTTGAGTGTTGTTGATTGGTGGTTACATCAATGTCATGTTGAGGTTGAAACTATGTACATTTTTTGAGAGGTTGAAATATATAACCAGCGTACGGTTCATGCGCCTTGATCATATTTGATAAAGCTTGAGCTTATCACATCATTTAGAATATTCCGGCGTGGAAGAAGCACCTGCAAGACGCTTTGTGAATGTTCTCTCTACCTGTTCCAGTACAATGCGATCACGCTTCTTTAAGCTTTCATGCACAATTGGATAATATTCCAGCGTAGATCGAACTGACATATGAGAACGAAGTATTGACCCTTGTTGAGAAAAGATCCCAAACACCAATGCAATGTTTTCTCTTACCTTCGCGGTAGCATAGCCTACTTGGTCACAGAAATCAATTGAGAATGAATATCACAATCCCAGGGCTCTTACTGTAGGACGAAGAATAGGTGATTAATCCTCAAGGGTCCGGTCGCTATAAGTCAAGCCACATATGTGCAACATTGAATATCACTTTTCAGTAGCGAAAGACCAAGCAGGGCACTTTATCAAAAGGATTTAATATTACAGAGACTGAAATAATCAAAGTATTGGGCGAAATTATCTTTTGGTTGATGTATTTATTTTAATACCCTGTTATAGTGGTAGCAAATAAAAGTACACAGTTGCCAAAATGCACAAGCAAGGTCAAGTTCAGAATATTTAGGCGATCATCATTAAAATGCATAGATTTGTTAGACACATGAAAGGATCCGTTTGTCAGGAAAGTAACATGGCCAGTAGTTTGTGAGTTCTGCAGACCGTATGTGAAACCTGATAATGCACGGAAACTGTGTAGTCTATCCTTCTTGTCTATTGGAGACACTTTAACATATAACCATTACCTAAAACAAAAACCTAGATTCTACAGCATCCATTTCTCTCAACGATTGGATCGCCTCACCAGGAACTGTTACGCTGGCTGGCCACAGTAATCGAATGTGCTCTATCTCTGCAGGTGTAGGGCAGTTCAAAACACCTTTGAATACGTCCACAAAATTCCGAAAATGAACGTATAGGTGTCTGCGGGGTGTGATTTGTTGTCACGTTCCTCTTCACGTAATAAGCATCACAGAGCACCGTTTCAAAGTATATATATATATATATATATATATATATATATTCAACACGGCCAATAGTACAATTGGCATAGTGCCACAACTTATGGAAGATACAATGAATGTATAAAGATAGAGGGGAAAAACGATGTTCATAAGAATAGTGAGTCATATCAAGTTCGCCACTGTGCGTGATTTCTTGCCATATCCAAGAGCGTTTCCAGCCATGTGTGTTCTGGATCCTTCACACTCCATCCAGGGAGCCCAGAGCCCCCGACCACGGTTAAACTTGACGTGAACTTCTTCATGCTCCTGGCCCAATTCATACGCTGGTCACCTTGCTTTCGTTTCTAGCCGACGTCTACATGCGCGAAGAGGGCATGGCGAAGTAAGCGATAAGTAGGCATGCGGAGAACGCGCCCAAGCCACTGAAGTCTGCGCAGAGCAATTATAATGCTCCGTGGCCGGCAAAGTCTGTCTGATCTGAAAATCCTTCGTCGAATATCTTCATTCATGGTGTGATGTTGCCATCGTACACCAGCAACGCTCCGAAGGCAGCGATGATCAAAAACAGACAACCTCTCACCATCCTTTGAGCGAACAGGCCAAGTCTCGCAGCCGTAGAGCAGAACGGCTGTCACTGCTGCATTGTAAACTCCGCCCTACAGAGCTAGACTCAGATCACCTCAAAGCCAGAGATGGCAGAAATTGGCAAAAGCCACCCGAGCTTTTGAGACGCGCAAAGAGACGTCATCCGTTAAGCTATTAGCGCTGTGGCGGCTTCCGAGGTAAACAAACTTGTCTACCAGTTCCAATGAAAGACCTAGTAGGGTAAGGTCAGGGGCCGCGCCTTGCCCGTCCTGCAGGAAAAGCTTGCATTTCCATGGTGCGATGGTCATTCCAAACTGGAAGACGGACATCTCCAACCTACTCAAACCATTTTGAGCGACCTCCGAGGAAGAGCAGATTACGGCGGTGTCGTCTGCATACTCCAAATCCTGAAGTCGGTCCCCGGAAGCAGCTCGAGGCTGCTAGGTTCGCAGTTCTCCAGAGCAAGCTCCAAGATTTCCTCCACAGCGAAAAGAAACAAGACGGGGGATGCTGGACAAGCCTGTCTCAAGCCATTGGTGATACCAAAGGAGGGCGAAAGTCCGACGTACACCCGCAGTCGGCCCGAGATTTGAGAGTAGATGGCTTGAAGTAAGGTGACAAACTTCTCGGGCACTCCTCTTCTCAGTAGACGACCCCAGAGAGCAGCTCTATCGACTGAGTCAAAAGCGGCTCGTATGTTTAAGAAGACAACGATCGTTGACCGGCCAAATGTTTGAAGATGCTCGAGTATTTGGCGGAGTGTAAAGATGTGATCGATGCAACTCCGACCTGAGCGGAACCCAGCTTGCTCTTCACGTATGCTGTGTTCTCGTACCAGGCTGAGCCTCCTTAGAAGCAGAGTTGGGGGAAGCTTGGAAGCAACATAGATGAGACTAATCCCTCCGTGGTTGGCGCAGTCAGTTTGGGTACCAGTTTTGAAGACGGGCACGATATCCGCTAGGCTCCAATCAGATGGGATAGCTTCAGTGGCCCAAATCTCTTGGAGGAGAGAAGTTACCTCCTGAACAAGTGATGGGCCGCCATCTTTGATACGATCCGGAGAGAGTTTATCTGGGCCAAGGGCTTTGTAGTCTTCTAAAGTTAGTAATCAGCATGTGCAAGAATAACATCTTAATTTTCATTGATGGGATACAACATGAACGATTTCAAGGTTAAAGAAAGGACGGTTTCTGTGCTTCCACTTGCCCGTATCATCATAGTGAAGCATTTAAGGGGTAAACAGTTTTGTCAAATTCTTGCAGAAACGCTGCTACACCAAGTGTGTCGTTGCTACTTATGTGATGTTGTGTTTCGCGAAACTGCTTGAAGACATCGGATAGCTGTCATTACAAATGTGTCTCTTGGAGTATTTTTATTGCTACTGAAGCGAAGACTAGAAGGTCCATTCACTAACTTGATTAACCATATATCTAATGGGGCAGCGCACTATCCGAAAGAACATTAACCGTATTAAGGTGTAATATGTGTGCACCTGGTTTACACCTCTTTTATGTATGTTAACTAAATAAATTCTATATTTCTCGACCATGCAAGACATAGACCGATTTCTTGGTTTGATTATTTTGTACGACAAAATGGAATGGTGGAGAAAGTGCTTTGACTTTTTCCATGGTCCCATTGGGGTGTTAGTGATGTTCCATCCTCCAAAAGTAGTAGCTTGTGAAAAACTTGAGTGGAGGACTAAGTAAATATTAAGTATAAATGGTAAATAGTAAGTACAAATGAAGTAATACGGCCTTCCATGGAACCT